AGATAATGGATGGATGGATATGAATGTTTCAAATCTAAGATGTTTCTGCAGATTATTCCAAGCCAATGAGGCATAGCAGGAAAATGCAGTTTTCCTCAAATCAGTTAAAACCTGGGGTACGTTGGAGGGTAACCACTTGTAGCTGGTAACTAACAGAGCTGACACAGAGAAGGTTACAAAGGTAGAATGGAAGTTTGTCCAGTATTGCTTTATAAATTAAAGTGTAGCAGGGCTGTTGCCTACAAATAGTCAGTGATGTCCAACTTACCAGATCATAAAGAACACAGTGATGAGTGAGGGACTTTGCATTTGTAATGAATTGTAGAGATACATGATACACTGAATCAAGATTACGTAAGATGGAGGAAGCTTCACGCATACTCAGTATGTCACCGTAATTAATCACAAACAAGAAAGTAGCTAGCACACGTTTTGTCTTAGCACTGAAAGTAAAGCAAGACTTGTTTCTAAAATAGAAGCCAATCTTCACTTTAGGCTTCCTGACTAAAGTTGTAATATGTACATTAAATGAAAGCTTGTCCATTTACCTGAGTGCTTGTAGGAGGGAACTCTTTCAATGGATTCACCTTCAGCTGTACAAATGCCAAGATCACTTAAATTGTGAGCTGAACTTATATAACTACAACTAAATTTAACTGAATTAAACATTGGGTGGGTGGACTGCATTGCTTTTAAAATGTTACAAATATTTTGCCCCCGTAATGTATGTTAATGGAGTTGATAAAATATGAGGAAGCTGTTCTGTTGGATTGCATTAGGTTTCACTGAAGTGGGTGAATATGTGAATTGTAGTAAATATGAAATAAAATGCAACATTTGGGCTATTTTTTTCCCCAGTTATTGAGTTTTCTGTTGGTACATTACAGAAATATGTTTCCTATTTCATTACATAATATTTATAGGATTTCTGGACAGAAAGTGAATGAAAACTAGAAGTCACACCTCCTAATGTTGCACACTGCTTCTTTTTTTTTTTCTTCCAGATGAAGCAGAGACACTGACACCTGGTGGAAGGAAGAGGTTGTGTTTACTGTAGTGCAGTCGATGATTCCTGAAGCTTCCAGAGAGAAGAAAAGAAGATTTAAAAAAAAGGAGTGCATGAGATTCTGACAAAGCATTTTTTTTTATTTATTTGACATGAAACACATCCAATGACAGTGTGACAGTGTTTTTGTCAAGTAAGACATGTTGTTAGAAGTTATCGCACCATTGACTAGTTCAGAATGTCTTTGCTGCAGCTCGACGATGCATAGTGAACAGACAATTGTTGAGGTATACATTGTGGGCCCTTGAGATTTTTCTATTTTGTGTGAAAGATCCAAATTTCATTACCTCACATGTACATTTTGTGCTTAGAATAACTTTGGAGGTTTGAAATGTACGCACGCCGTTCCTCTCAACGCAACTGAAGCATCTACTCAAATGGAAACGGCGGATATGTCAGGTTGCATTGTCCATGTTGAGTTGCCTTTTAAGAGATTTTTTTTTATTTATTCCGACTTGATGACAAACAGTTTCAGAATGGAGTGAGCGAAAACTTTAAAGATGTTGGCATGGAAAAAGAACGACCGATTTTCACACAAAAAGGGCCTCTAGGAAGAAACCTTTTTGTAATGACATTGGAGGATAAAAAAAAAAAAAAAAAAGAACTGGCAACTTCCCTTATTGAATAGCACCAATGTCTATTGAAAAGGCTTGAAGGCCAACATGAAATTATAAAACTTTATTAAAACTCATTGGAGTGAAACAGTAGCGACAAAGCAATTGTCACACAGGAGCTCTGAGGCTTCTCTTCGTTATTCATGAGTAACTCTAACTTACTGGCTCGCACACACGAGTGAGAAGTGGTTTATCGATGCGTTGCGCTGAATGTCAAGCTGCTTCAGAGTCAAACCAGCAGAAGTTGTGCAGCTCCAAAGAAAGATTACATCAGGAAAAATATTCATGAAACCCCTACAAAATATATTAAATTCCAATTCTGGATGGAGAGAGTAAAAATACAGTGGAGGCGACATAAAAAAAAAAATAGAAATTAAAAAAAAAAAATGGTTCAATATTTTGGGATAAATTTCTTACAAAAGACAAACCTTGTTGCACCATAAAAGCCAAATATCACCATTAAACTGAACACACACTCACTCGCTGACACACACTCCCTCATGGACACACACACACACACATAAAATGATATTGGGAAAGTGCACATTGTTCCTGCGCAAATAATCGGAAACCTTTTTTGTGTCTTTTGCAGTGTGATAGGATTAAATTAACAATGCAGAAAAATGCTGTCAAGTATGAAAGATCAGTCAAGTTTTTATCTACAGAATTCATTTCCATGTACACATGAACACCAGTAATACAGTATCTGACCTCTAAAATACAGTATACAGACATCTTTACCCTCATTTATTGTACTTTTTCTTTTCAAGGATGATTTTTAAATCACAGGTTGTTTACGGATTGTTCTTAATTTATTTATTTTTTTCTCAGTGTTACAGACATTCAGAAAGAATTGGTTTAAATAATGGCGGTAATGTTCAAATCAGAAAGGCATGACCACAAATTTAAAAAAAACAAAAAACAAAACAAGACACCCCCCCCTTCCTCTAAAAAATATGTGATATGAGCGTGTTTTCAGTTAAAACCTGGTGTCTGATTTGGTGGAACTGTTCTTTAAATACACAAGCACAGAAGTTCCACAGGTTTAGTAAGGCAACGTTCTCTCCTCATTCTTGATATCTTATTTTTTCAGATCAGTCATACTCCAAAAACCATGAATGTCAAAATGGTAAAAGGCACTGACTTGCCTTCTGATGATTTATCTAATCGACTGCGGCATTAAATGAAAGATGCTCTTCGATTTCAGTTGGGAAAAACTACACACTGACCGAAAAGCTGTCAGCTCACTTCAGAACCTCGGTTCAAGCCAGAAAACAGTGAATCATCCTGTGAAACCAGCTTTTGACAAAAAAATAAATAAATCCAAGGCCCACTTGCTAACTTGTTACAGGACTTCTAACCGTCTTCATCAGCAGCCGGGTCTGAGCACGTGCAGGACTTTGGAAATACAACATTTTTTTTGTCAACTGCTGTTTTCAGATTAAAGAATGAACCGTTAAACCTGCCTGCTCTGCCGACACCCGTTAGCGCCTGTCCTGTATTGCTGTTACATCTGAGTCACAAAGCTTCACATTTTCCTGAAACTAGAAATCCAGTAATGTTTGAAAAATCCAGAAGGTTGTTTACCAGCACACACACACACACACACACACACACACACACACACACACACACTCAACACACACACTGTAGTTCTAAAGATGTTCCAGAAGCCTTAAAGATTCGTCACCAATTAAATGAAAACCATGTTTGCTGCACAATTGTTGTTTTAACCAGTTTCCCAAGATGGCTGCCAGAAACTACCTATATCTCCTCTATTACAGTCCAAATTCTAATAATAATTCTCTATTATACTGGTATTGTGTAATGTTTTAATACAGAATCATATGCTTGCGTGGGCAAGATGTACTTTTAAGCTAAGTGAATGAGGATATTAAACTCTAAACTGGGTTCAAAATGTTTTTCAGTATGCAACACTTGGTCTGTTTATTCATCAAGATGACTGACAAAAGTCTTAGAGATAACTAGCTGTTACTATTATGTGTTCCAGATAACACCAGGTATTTATTTATAGGGGGAAATAGATGTTAAGAGCTGTGACGCTGTGAATGCTAACACACGAGAGGCACACACTGGAGTTAAACATCCAGCGAAGGCAGTGAAAACCAACTGCTATGAGACTCCTCGGCTTGCTACAGTAGTTTGTTTTTTCTCCTTTTTAACCCAAATGCACACCTAAACATCCGTTATAGCTTCAAACCTTGTTCTGAAAAATTGGTGCCTTTATAAAAAAAGGTTATTAGCACTACCACAATCATACGAACTATCTAACTGTCCTACTCACACTGAAAATGAAGAATCTGTTTCATCTTTACGATCCAGGTTTGTACAAGGCTAGTCTTTCTTTTCCCACACCAACAGGCAATTCAAGTGTATTTTTGGGACATTTTTGTGTAGCACGTGAATGCCGACGCCACATCTGCTGGCAAATACAGTATGTGATGAGAGGTGAGAGCCACGGTGCACCTGCTAGGAAGGTAATATGTCAGGACTGCCGCTGCAGGCTGCACTTGCTGGTGGCACTTTGTTTTTTTGTTTTTTTTTTAATACTGACGTGGATTTGCTCTTGTGAAAGCAGCAGACATGGGGGGTGTCCCCTTGAGGCAGGTGAGACAGAAAGTGAACTCAGGGGTGAAGAGGACCTAAAGTGCAAAGGGGGGAAGTTCCAGTGCGCCATCCCGCCTTCAAGAATAGAGGGGGTCAAACAAAAACAACAAAAAAACAAGCACACAACGATGTATGGATCAGGATATAAACAAAGGAATGGAATGAGGGGAGGTTTTTCTCTTTCTCCGATAAAAGTATGTAATTGAAATAGTCTTAAAAAAAACATGACCTGGATCGATGAGGGAGGAGTGGGATGAAGATCAGATTTCATCCAGCTGACAGATATGTCTACTATCAAGAGGAGAGATAATATCTTCCCCCCCACAGCAGAGATCTCAGTGAACCTGGACTGCAGCGATCGAACAGGTGGAAGCAAAGGAGGAGCATTTTCTGAGAGGGAAGCATGTTGTTGTTACAGGGCCGTTCTTGCATTCCCACATTGTTCGGTGTTTTGAATGTGTCTGAGCTTTAACGTTGGGGGTTGCTACTGGTCCTTCTCCCTCGTGTCTGTTCTCAGAGCCTGGCTCAGTTTTCTGCATCGCTCGGCGAAGGGCGTTCACATGTTGTAGGCCACGTAGATGGGGTCCAGTTGGTCTGCCAGGAAGGAGTCTCGCAGATGCATCCTCTGCTTCTCTCCTCTGGAGTTGATGGGGATCACCCCGGGGTCCACGATGACCACCACCCCGACGATGAGGTGGTGCTCCTCCAGGACCACGTTGGTGACGAGGGGCACCAGGTCCAAGGCTTCCTGCTCCGAGCCGCTCAGCTCTGCCACCACCACCAGCAGGTTGGTCCACGTAAACACAGCACTGCGTAGCGAGAAGCACACAGAGGATTGAGTTTCTGTTATCGTTTAGCACTGTAATGTACAGATCTACAATGTGCACATGGCTGGCTCTGCTTGAGAGCATGAACAGAGTGAAGAAGCTCACCTCTCTGCAATGCTGCGGTGGGCTCGGGACACGGACGTCTCGATGTCGATGGGGTGGTAACGCAAACCCCTCAGCTCCAATGTTTCGTCAAGGGAGCCCACCACAAACAAGGCATCATGGCGATCTGTGGCAAAAACAACAAAAGTGCTTCATACTTTATAGTTATGGACTACTTTCAGACATTTTGCCATCCTATTAATACAATAGTATCTACAGTACCTATAAAATGTTTTCCCTTTTCAGTGATTTTTAGCATTAAATCATCCATCCATCCATTATCTATACACCGCACTGTGTATATCAACGTTGCCATATAAAATGACAAATACAGCAGCAGAGGATTTAGTCCACGTTAAACATCCCTGCCAAAAATCAATCACTCCTCGAAATCATATTCGCAAACAGAAAAGTTTTTTATCAAATGTCCTCTCACCTCCGCTTGCATCCAGCAGCTCAGTTCTCTTGATGAAGCCCAGGTAGCCCGTCCTGGCCCACAGAGTGTGGGGCTCCCCAAAGCTCAGTCTGGTGTTGAAATGATCCGCCTGCAGGCTCTCCTCTCCGTAGATGGTGTAGTAGCCACTGGCACTGTGAGGGCTGTTCACCCAGATCTGCACACACACAGAAAATATAAGCTACAGTTTTGATACAAACAGAAAACTAACATTAAAAAGCAAAATAAAATATAGGTCTTTGTGTTTGCTGCTTTTGTGTATTTCACTCTGCTCTTGTGAAACCTCTTAATATGTGGCATAAGACCAAACTGAAAAAGAGTAGATGTCCTCTTGCTCACTCACCTCCCCAAGATGTGAGTCTCCCAGCGGGCCTCTGGTTTCTGGGTTGACGATGATGACCCTCACTCCCGGTAGGATCTAAGAGGAGAGTATAGCCTTGAGGATAACACAACCATTTCTATTTCCTCTCTGGTTCTGTGGTAACAGTGAGAGCTTTACCAGTCAATAACCAATACTTACAGTGCCTGACTCCATGAGAGGAAGACTCTGTGGTGCTCCTCGCTCCACGAGCCTCACCCTGAGGGACACGGGGAAAGAGAACCCGTCAATCAGCATGTTCGATCTGACCGACGCTGCACGTTTGTTCTCGTCAATCGGGTCATGTGAACGCTGTAGCTGCCTCTGTTTACAAGAGTCTTACCTGTCGTGACGCAGGGACTTCATGTCAACGTAGACAGTGGAGGGGTCTGGTCCAGCAGTGCCCTGGGACACACAGAGGAAAACAACCACAGTGAAGCATCAGAAACTGGACTGAACCTGAAACCTTCCAGCGAAGAGAACATCCTGAGTGATTGAACATCCTGAATGATTATTATCATTCAGGAATACCTATGGGTCCCATATCGGGCCCTTTTTCAACAAGTTATTAAAAATATCACATTTCCAAAATTTGTATTTTCATTTCTTTAGTTTGAAATACAGCAAATATGGTTCATTTCACCATGACTGATAATCCCTGGTTTTAGTGTTGATTTACACAGTCTGTGTCAGTGAGCTGCTGCTATCCACACCTCCTTGAGGAAGAAAATTGTCTCTGCGTCTGTGATTTACAGTGTGGACAAAACTGCTTACCTTACAGCAGCTGACACAGACTTGAATGAGTGTGGGAGACCAGGACTGTCTATCACTTCTAACTTTCTCTCTAAACAACCATTTGACGTGGAAATATCACCAAATGTCACAGTACAGCCGTTGTTTTTCTCATATGTACAGAGTTTGTCAGACAACGCTGTAGTTATAAACTTAATAGTTAATTAGTGCAGTCGTAGCTCAGAAATGAGCCTGAAGTTTCGGTCACAATTTTTTCATGTAAAAATATGTAAATGAGAACAGCTTTATTGGGAATTTCGGTGTAATAAAATACAGTATATGATTGCAGAGAGCAGAAGAGATGCAAACAGATGTAAAAGACTGAGAGGCTGTGTTTTTGCTTCACTGAAGCACAACAAGAGACATGAAAACACAGTAACCCATGCAGTTCCTCAACGTTTCCCATTTCTACTGAGCTCTGAGCTGTCAGCATACTATCTAAGCTAATGATAATGTTAGCCACATTAGCCACGCCAAGGATTTTCCTAATGTTGTGTTAACACTGCCATCAAAATAAAAGTAATCCACTGGATCTACAGTTCCTCAGATGCTGGGAGTGCATGAAGACTCTTGTGTTCACTCTTGCAGCCAACAGCAGAACATTTAATGTGCTGATGGAAAAGCAGCTGCACATTCTGAATATCTCACCTGGAAGCAGTGAGGAGGCAGGATTATACAAAGTTTGAGCTCGATGGCTATTGGTTCCCTCAGCTGGAACGTAGCAGTTTAGAAAAATTCTTGCTGCCTTGTAAAGCTGAGAGGCTATGTAGTTGTGGGGTGACTGGAGGAATCATAGAAGTACACATCTTCATATCTTAACAGCTTTATCTTTACACCTCCAAGTTTACACCAACCACAAAACATGAGAAAATAGACTTTTATAAAATAGGATCTTAAAGGCTAGAAAGGACAAATATTGCTGTTGAGTAGAATTAGAAGAAAGAGAATTGGTTAAATTATACTTAAGTGTACTATTAGGTCTGTATGAAACCCACCTGCAGGCAGATGGCCAGGTTGACCCTGGAGCCGAAGGCGGTGCTGACGGCGCGTGACGACAAGCCGAGGTCTTTGAAGAGCTTGGAGAAGGACTGCGTGAGAGCGAGGCGAGGCCGCTCCTCTGCTATCACCACACAGCTCCGCACACATGACAGATTCAGACCCCGAGCCTGCAGACACGCACAGCTAAAGGTTATTCACTCTGAAGGTGTAACAGTTAAGTGCAGACTGAGCTTGACACAAACATGACTCAGCAACGTGATTTGAAGTAAAAACAGAATAAGCAGAGATAGTGGAAAATCAACAATAGATGTAAGTTTTAATAGTTGCTGTAAACACATACAATCCTTTTAATAAGTACTCAGACCATCTGACATTGTGTTTCTTTGTAGCTTCCATTTTAAATGCTCTCCAAGATTCTTATTATAATCTACGTATTGTTTTATGTCTGTAGTTGCAGTGGGTCCTAACGTGAGGGTCGGGACCTCCCTGGGGTTCATGAGACAGTGTGGCGGGTCTCGACAACTTCTGTATTTATTGATTGATTTATTTATCAATAAATACAGATTGGGACTAAATGTGGAGGATAACGTTTGAGTGGCTGGTTAATCCCAGAAGGGACTTGCATGCACACCCATTTCATTCGGTATGCTTAACGTTAAAATGAAAGTAATGAGTAAAAATTCCCTAAATGCAAGTTTGCCCTCAACAGCAATCATATTGGAGTATGCTGCTTATTACACACAAATACAGACATATCACCTGTGAGGCTGCTGCTCCAACATGCTGTACAGTTAGTCAGAAAAACTGTTTGTACATTCGCTCTACTTTGTGTTCTTTTGTGTCGTTGCTATGCTCATGTTTGGATAGGCCTATGAGCGCATCTGTGCATGTTTTTATGCATGCGATGGTTTGAGTCACGAGTCTCTGGCACCATTTATTTGTGGGCGTCATAAGCTAAAAAAAGTTTGTGAAGCTCTGCTATGAGGCGCCTGTCTGTTACACAAAGAAATGCAAAATATTTTCACTCTGTTGAAAACCTGACAAGGATACTGAATAATTATAGCCTAATTTCACTGTTGTAATTGCACCTTTAACAAGTGATTCGACAGGTGTTTATTAGTCACCTTCGCAGCAGTTATGATTCCTGTGAGAAACTCATTTATCAGATGTGACTGACAGAGGAGTCGGTTTTCAAAGAGAACCACATGTGGCAGATTGTGTGAGTGTGATTGTGACCTTCAGCATCTCAGTCTGGGTTCCCAGGCCTTTGGTGCACAGCTCCATGACAGAGTACGAGCAGAAGGTGTCTCTGATCTTGTACTGACTGAGCGTGCTCAGCCACAGAGGCAGCGAACTCTCCAGCTCCAGGGGAGGAATAAGGATGGACTGGTGACCTGAGTAAACACTGCAAACAAACATAAACAAACTCACTGCAGCAACAGCACAATTTACAGGAGCCGCATGCAATATAAAGAATGACGTTTAGTATGTGTGTGTGTGTTTTTGAGTTACCTGGAGAGGCACCACAGGACGAAGCCCAGGCCACAGTATGGGTCCAGGCAGATGGCTATTTGGCGTGAGGAGTAGAGCTCACACTGCAGCTTAATGGAACGGCACAGAGTGCTGACGGCAGCATGAGACATCTGAAGAAATGTAAAAACTTTTAAGATATAAAGCATGATGATCTTTTTTCAGGCTAAAATGGTTCATTAATCTTCAGTTCATTAGCATGACTTGTGAGTATTTACCTGAAAGTCCCTATCAAACATAGTTTAGGATGTATAATCATATTCCACTTTCGGTTCTCTCACAAAAAAATTCAGTCACCCCATTGAAAAATCTTAAAATCTATGCATATGGAAAATACTTTTTTTTTTTTCCATTTCACAAGTTTGAATTAAGATGTCCTCCACTTTTTGACAGTCTATTTTTAGAGTATGTACACTGGAAGCTTAAATCTCCATGTCATGCTTGTGTAAGTTACATGCCGAACTGGAAGTCCTGCTGATACACATATTGATGACCCTCTGAAGCCCAAACTTCACCGGCAGCATTGAAGGGACCTTTTTTTTTGTGCTGTTGTTTCCAAATCAGCAAATTTATACCATTTATCTCTTTTTTTTGTTGTTGTTTTTTAAAGAGAATAGTTGTATTTGAAACTTTTTGACAGTCTTTGAGCTTATTGTGCGATTTTCAATTTTGTCTGGAAAATCTTTGATCAAAATCACTTCACTGTGTTTAAAAATAAACTGCTTGGTGTAAACACATTCTGTAAAAAACTAAATATTCTGTGCTCCTTGTCACAACCGGAAAGCCATTAGTGACTCAGCTGTGACCAACAGTTGTGTGAATTCAACTTTCATGTTTTCTTTTTTATGATTCATGTCATTATATCTGTGTCATACTGCACTAAAGACACTTGAGTTTTCTCTACTTCTAACCATTGCTGAACTGTTTCCACAGAGGTACAGGATTTTATATTGCAACGAAAAATGAGCCCCCGGTAAGTGGAGCACAAAAACACACAGAAAATGCATAGGATATTTAGAGGGTTAGACTCAAATTAAAGGTGAGCAGAGAAACTTATCACATTCAGCAGATGAATGTGAAACAGCTTTCTAGTGTCAAACAGCACATCATTCTGCACAGTGAAGGTTCAACCAAAGACTTTTGAGCAAAGGGGGTACTTTGAGTCCCTCTAGCGAAAAGTGAGCATTTTTTAATGGATCAAGCTGATTTAAAAAAAATAAATAAATAAAATAAAAAAATACGTATATATATATATATATATATATAATATGCATAATTAGTTTGAGTAACGCACCTTTACTCCAGTCAACATGCCTGTGGTGGACACACTGAAGTCCAGGTAGGCCAGCATCTCAGCTGTTGGAGGTTTATAGATGTGTGGAGGCCGCTTTCTGGGGAGATCATCTGCGAAACGAGGGAAGTGGATTTTTGTTATTTCATTGCTGAACAAAATAAATTACATACCTTCACTGTCATACTGTTAGTGTTGCTTTTTGCTGTCAGGAATAAGCTGCAACCTGATAATTGTTCTGTGGTTTTGTTGAGTGGGAGGACGGAATCCTTTCAGACGAAAATGCACCGTCTGACTGTGCATTTTAAAACGCTTCATTACACCTGCCTTAAATATGCAGTATGACTGATGAATGACTGAATGTTGGCTGAACATATTTGGAAGGAGACAGCAGACTTTGATCTGTATGCATTTTCCCCAACATGTTTGAGTTTGTCAAAGAGCAAACAGGACACCTTGTGGCCAAAATAGGAACATATTCTTCTGTGTCAATAACACAGAGCAATGCTTCAAACAAATGAATTAAACTGCTACACATAATGACTAACGCCTCAAAGCAGTTCTAACATGAACAGATCTCAACAAACTCCTGTACCTGTATCGATGATCGTGGGCCACGTTTTGACGTTGACGCTGGCAGCAGCCTCCCTGGACCTGAGGATCCTCATCAGAGGCTGAGTGGTGAGGATGCAGGCTGCTTTGCTCACCTGTGACACACAACAAACAGCAGACAGATGTTCGTTTAAGAACACAAACTATTGTGCTTTAATGGTGACCTTCTGTATATATCCTCCATATGGAGTGTTAAACAAAGTGCATAGAATTATTGATACTTTATTGAACCTTGAAGTAAAGTTCAATTTGATTTGCTTTTTTCCAGGGAAATCAGTTATGGGGTCAACAGCAGTTGTCTTCACTTTATTCAAGAAGGACTGAAGGGTATTCAAGAAGGGTAATAATGTTTGGTCATTAATTTTTATGGATAATTGTGCTTTGGATGGATATTGCAAGGTTAAAGAAAATACAACATACACAAAAATATGTGTGTTTTAGGTGTACTGATCCTATAAAGACGTGTTTGTAGCGCTCTGAGCCCCAAAACCTGCTGCCAAGTTCAAAACAATTAGTGACTCAGCTGCAACCGACTGACAAAAATGTAGAAACTTTTCAGCTGAATTATGCTGTGCAAATGCTTAAATAAAAAAACAAAAAAACCTTTGAAGCAGAAAAAACTACTGTGACAGTGGCGTGCACTCACATCGATGATCATGCGGACAGTGGGGAGAGTAGCAGCCAGGTTCTGTGGGTGTGGCGGCCTCACTGTCACAGGGATGACGCCCGCATAGAGGCAGCCATAGAAGGCAGCTATCAGGTCAATACCTGCAGGAGTAGGAGACAGGTAGGAGTCATGTGAACTGAAATACCAAAGCACACTTGACCATCAGCATTTTTTAAATTCAATTTTAAAAAAGGAAAGCTAGCCATCTAGGATATTATGGGGCATCTGCATCTGTGTGCTTACCTGGGGGATAAAGCAGCACCACATTGTCTCCTGTGTTGAGGCCTCCTCTCTCCATTAAGGTAGCCGTGATTTTCTCTGCTCTCTTGTGTAGTTGAGCACAGGTGGCTGTGCACACTGCTACCCCCTATAGCAAAAACAGTGGAAGCACAGCTGAAGTCACCCACCACAAAATGGATCACCATCACCAGTAGCAATGTGGTACCATTTCCAAGAAGAAGGAAAGAGACGCATGCATTATTTGTGTCAGCATATCTTGATTCTATGTAATAACTGATTTCTCAGATTCATTTAGGCGTCTGTGTATCTTTGCTTGTCTGCGTTTGATCTACCTTTGCGTTGAGCAGCACATACAGAACATGGTCAGGGTCGGTTTGGGCCCTAAACTGCAGAGCTTCAGACAAGAACTGGTGCTGTAAAAGGAACAAAAAGGAAGGTGTCATCACAAAGACATGAAAGGGGGATTGAATTTCACAATTTAATTACACTTAATTGTAAATTTAACTGCACAATTAAAAATCGATATATGCAAATAATAATAATGCATTTAAAAATGACAAACAGATAAAAACACTTCAAAGCTGGCCAGCAAACAGTCAGATATCGACAAACCAACCAACAGCTAAAAATAGACAGTCCTCTCAGTGACAGATCAGTTTTTTCAGTGACAGACTGGTACAGAGAATAGGAAACATTTAAAGTGTGTCAAAGACATTCTGTGACGCTTTTGACCTCTCACAAGCACACAATGTGAGCGCGGAGTGTCCAGAGAATGTTTGTATAGCCAAGTGAAGGGTCATGCTGAGACCATCTGCACCTGGTAGGAGGCAAATTGGAGCCACTGTCAAAACCTAACAAGCTACGTGTCATAATCATTTTGATAAGGTTTGAAAAAGAAGTTTTTCTGCAACACATCACTGCCTCAGAGTGTTGTTTCTTAAATAAGACGTTTCCAAGGGAACAATCCACTAAATAAACAGTATGAAATGCATCATTAGCTTCTTGATCTGTGGTGTCAAAAGGCTGAGGAGCCAGTCAGCGCACTGGACAGAACAGGACAGGACGTGAAAACAAAGAGTTCCTTTACAGGTAGAAGCCAAGTGAACATTAGGCAGCACATAAAAAAATAAAAAACACAAACAAAGTTAACACCACCGTGGTCTTTAGACATACAAACATAATATTGAGCGGTGTCACGTTGCTGGCCGTATTAAAATCACGGGTCGGAGCCACCCACTCTCTCAGTCAGACAACACGTCGTGCTCTGGTCAACAATGAATCAGGAATCGCATCATGCAGACCAGCTGCCCTAAACCACGCATCAAGCCATGCTACACGTGGGAGCGTCACAGTGAACACAGCGAGCAGAGGTGCACACGAAAACTCTCCTAATCAACACTTTTTGTGTTTGTAAGCAGTGGGTCTTCTGTGGTCACATTTGCTGAGGAGACTGATTAAAATTGACTGATGAAGATTTGTACTTGCACATATTGTGAGTAAGAAACTTCCACTCACTTAGAGTAGATGAGTGTCATTTAATTTACTGCTGACCTTTTGCTTTGGCAAAGCTACCAGGCTGCTGGCCAACTCGCATCTTAAAATGTGATGGCAGAGAGAGTCTATTAAATGAGACACTGTTAAACGTAGAACTTCGTGTTGAAGTATTACAGTGTGTTGGTTTAAGTGTGTGGACCCCTGCTGGCTAAGGAGCCGGCCTGGACAGTCATGTTTGTTGGACCAAGCTGTTTGCTGGCGGCCGTCAGATGCTCGCGGCTGCGAAAGCACACGTGACTGACAGAAGCAGCATAAGCAAGGACGGGTGGGGGCCAGACTAGAGCCTTACCATCATGGTGGGCCACATACAGAGCTAAAGCCCAACCCAAGCAAAGTAAAGGCAGAACAACAGCAGAGATTTAGGATAAGACATCAGCATCCGTTTTCCCTGACAGATACAGAGTCATCTTTAACTTGGCAAACACATTCAGAGCATTCACAATTTCTCTTTTTTGGTTTAATGTGATCCGTTTTGATACCAACGTAACGTAGTTAATCGAAACTAAAGACTTTCTCTGAGATAATTAATGTTGCAATTACTGTCTTGTTTAGGCAATTTCTTCTTTTGTTGATAAAACGTAAAAGACGTTTAGTTTCAAACAATTAACACGGCAATACTAGTTAGGTTATTTGATAAATTATTTAAATGCTTAAATGTTAAAATAATTACAGATTAATTTTCTGACATCGAATCACTCTTGTACAGTCGTCATTTTGGAAAACAGACAAAGAAATAAAATAGTTTTTTCTTTTCTTATGGTTCGTGGCATACTAGACTAATGACATCTTTAGTCTTCTCTACTTCTAGTCATGGTTGTGCTACTTCTATAGAGATGGCACATTTTATACTGCAGTAAAAAGGTAATGAGCTCAGAGAAAGTAAAAATGTGACAGGAGCAGAAAACGCCCAGGTTTAAGAGGGTTGAGGTTCAGAGGGTTGAGAATAACAACAGTATAAATGCTAAATCCTACTTTTTTCCTCCCTTTGTCCAGGTGTTAATGTTGTCATCATAAACATAGATTCCTTTATATATTAACAATTCAAAGTTTTAAAAATGAAACTGTTCAAAAAGTTACTCATAAAGAGCTGTCCACTTTCTTGGCACCATGCTGACAGATGCTCCATCCACTATTAAGGGTCTGATACAGGATCACAGTGGTGTTAGTGTGGTTGGGTCTGTGTTGCAGTACCTTGCGAATGAGATCCTGGTCCTCCACCACACCCAGCTCTCTGCCTGTAGCCTGGGCAATCCGTTTTCCTGCCACCAAGTTGCCGACCAGCATAGAAGCCGGACCGACGTCCACTGAGCAGAACATTAACGGAGTCATGTTTTTAACGATGAACAATTTCATGTAGTATAAAGGCACGAGCAGACAATGTCTAAAGACAGCTTACCTGGTTGCTTCTGCCGGGGCTTGGGCATGTTTGTAACACAGGTGTGAGGGCACATGAGGATATTGCAGGGGTGCAGGTTTCCCTCCAGAAAGTTCTGCTTGGTTTCACAGATGTGGATGCCTCCGAGTGGCGTCTTTGGGAGGGTGTTGGCTGGGACGAGTGCAAGACAGTACAGGCCAACTTGGTGGATGCTGTCGATGGCCTGCAGAAAAAATAATTAGAACATTTTTGTAAACCTCCATGAGAACAAGACACTTCTACATCATTCTTCCTAATTCTGAAACACGTGATGCTTTCAAACACAGCTAGCCATACATAAAAGGGAGACACTTCTGCAGTGAATCTGTTACGATGTTAAAATGTATGTATCTGAATACAATCACAAAAAGAAAAAAAATTAAGAAGTATATACAAAAAATGCGATTGATTTAAGCAGAGCGTGAGTTACCTGCAGTACTCGACTCATCCACTGGAAGCTGTCTTCTTCACTTGCATCAGGCCTCTGCTCTGCCACGATCACTATCCTCTCATCATAAAACACTGTCACCGAGAACACAGCAATCCTGCATGGATGACAACAGGAGAGTGAGCAGAAACACACACTCCAAATATGTCAGAGAGGCTGTAGAGTGCAGAGGGGATTCTTTAATTTAAGGACGATATACTCGAACAAGTTTTCCTAGTCACCAATATCCAAATATTACCAAACTATGACTGCTGGAATGGGCACATTTACTGCTTGAATTGTCTTCCTAAGTGTGCAGTAATGTACTCTGATGAGAGGACACTGTGCACACACAGAACAGGGAAATCTTCACTCTGGCTCACAGGGACCCGACAGTGTCTCACCTCCCTCTGTAAACTGTTTTGACAGGCTCCACTGCCAGCGCGGTGGCCACCAGGTCGTCAGCATTGTGGCGTCGGCTGCTAACCATCAGGAGCCCCTCGATCTTCCCCACAACAAACACCAGACTCCCCTGTGGAGCAGATGTATTTAACTCAGCAAACAAATGCAAAGTATCAGCACCTTTTTTTGACAAATATTGCATGGTGCAAATATTTTGGACGCTTTATATCTGATTGGGCCTCAGTTCACCTAACAGTGTGACCAAAGGCATACAGCCAGAGTCATAAAGGTCGGGCTTTATTCTCAACTTGTGGATGTTCCATCTACTAATCAGGTGTGAGTTTCAGTTTTGTCAGGTAAAACTACCAAATCTCAGCTAAAAATGGGAATATTTCTTTAAAAATCACTTTATCTTACATGTCTTATTTAAAATTTGCCAAAAAAAAAAAGAAGAATTTGCAAAAAACAGATTTTGTAAAAAAACAAAAAATTCTGTGCTATTTGGCGCAATTACCGACTCAGCTGTGACCAACAGTACTGTGACAAAAATTCAGGGATTTTTCCGCTGAACAGAAATGAACTGAAAGCTATGCTTACACTGAGCCAATTTTTGAGGCAAGTTTTAAAAAATTTTCACTTTATTTTCACTTTATTATACTGCAAAAAAATACAATTTGGAGTTCTCTGTACTTCAAGCCATGGTTGTGGTGTTTCCATACAATGACAGTGAAGATTTTATCTATCTATCTATCTATCTATCTATCTATCTATCTATTTACAATGTCAGTTTTTTTCGCTTTACTTCTGGTGCCTAAACCTTCAGCAAAGCACTGAAACTACTGTAACTGTGCTTGTGTTCCCTACCGGTCCCACGAATCCAAGCAGACCGGTCCGACTGAAAGGAATTTCTCCAATGGGTGCCCCAGCTTGGTTGACAGGGATCACCTACAAATTAGCAGAAAGATCAAACAGATTCAGTTGAAATACACGCAGCATTGTAAAATTGACCCTGACCTTGGATTTCAAAGGTATGCAAAAACAATGACGGTCTACAAGAAACAAAAGCATTGTTAAGGAATTATAATGAGTAAATGGAAGAATATGGGAACCGACTTTTAAAAAGCTTATTTTAAATAAATCAGTGAATACAATGCAATTATTGCATAATGTCTGTGTTCATCTTTAAATTCATCTTATGTTGTGTGTACGTTATGTTTGAGGAGATCTAGAGCTGATCCTAGCACACATTAGATGAGACACTACACAAGGGCGGGGTGTAATTTGGAAATTGGTGGAAAATTCCTATGTTTCATACCTTTAATTTAACAATACATTACATGTTAGACCAAGAAAAATATGAGGCACAGCTGTGATTAGTGTGCCAACAACATTAAACATGGGTTTCTGACAGACCTCAAATGTGTTTTTGGTGACACCAGGCAGGCCGTAGTACATGGTGCCTCCAGCCCGAGAGTTGATCACAATCTCTCCAATCTCATCTGTCTTGCACAGCTGAGGAGGCCCGTCTGGTTTCACGATGCACATCAGAGCTGAAACACACAAACGGGTCACAACATTACCAACTCGTGGATTTAAGTTCCTGAATTTGAAAAAAGATCATGAAGTAAGAATGTACGGTAAATGTGGCAGCTGTTGCACTTCGATGCTGCCAATTAAAACAAACTGCGGTGGCTAACCTCCAGGCATAATGTGGCCCACATCCTGCACAGTGAGAGCTGAGTTCTTGTCTTCTGTGTTCACCCTGATCACCCCGTGGCTGAGCCCGCCCATGGACAGGATGGCTCTGGCTGGTAGTGGAGCTCCTCGTGCACCAGGTCTGCAGAAAAAGGGAAAAATAATGTACGTTTACTTGATTATTCTGACTTGTACACTGTTTATTTATGATCCACACTACACATAAGTACCTTTTAAAGCACATTCTATCTATTAGGTTTTAAATTAAGCATGCCTTGGTTTTACTATATTTAATATATTTGCATTCTTGTATCTATAGAAAGTGTTTTTACTTGAACTGAAGAAAAAGAAGTAATATTGTGGTCGCAAAAACAAGCCAGACAGCAGGAAGGTATCATAATGTTGCTGGTGCACAAAATGAAGTCTCAGCATGTCAGTGCAGCGGTTTCAACATTTTTCAAGGAGTGTCTTCGAATGGAGCATGACAGAGAGTGATTGGTGGCTTTAGGAAAGTTACACCTTACTTAACATGATGCTTGCAACACTGATTTACCCCTAAGCAGTAGAAATATTTTAGCTTCATTCTTTATCTTGATCTAAGAAAAAGAATAATGTTGAGTAAGAGCAAGAGTCATGCCAAATGGTGTCAAAACCACAAGCCTGTCTGTTTATCTCTTTGTTTCTCTCATTTGGTTTTTCTCTGACATTCTTCCTCTTCTAGTTGGGTAATTGTTACTACTAGAAACACTAATTTTAAAGATTAAATGTTGGGCCTTTTAAGCCTATGTTTGACAGTGGCACTGAAGACAGGTGGGAAATCATGGCTAGAGAGTCGGGGAGCAGCACATGATCCAGCCAGTAAGGAATCAAACCTGGAAGTCACCACTCAGGGCATAAACACAAACAGTATGTAATACTGTATGTGTCTTAACCTCTTGGCCATTGGCACACTCCAGAAACACTAAATTCAAGTGTTATTACAGGGATACTACCTGCAAAACTACACTACTTTTAAAGCATCAAAGTGTCTCTTCCAAGAACATGTGAGAGTACAAATGTGGTACCTGCGTATAGCCACAGTCAGGGCCTCAGGGGAGGTGGCACATGGACAAATGACCTCAGGCTTCAGACCATGAGACTGGAACACATTCAGGAAGGCATCACACGACGACACAGACCCTGACAACAAACAATGGACAAAAACATTAAAAAAAAAAAAAAAACAATACAGAAATACTGTAGGTCAAACTCACAACCCAACATTTTAAAATCACAACACATCTTCATTACAAAGTGTTTGTGGAGAAGAAGCAGTGACTCACATGGGTTGGCTCCGTCAGCCACTATCAGCATACGTATAGAGGACAAGTTGGTGTCCTTCTGGTCCTTGTGGGCCATCATGGCCCAGTGGAGGTCACGGCACTTCACCAAGGCCACACGTGCTACGAGAGGGTAAGAGAAACACGTTATATATATAGTACAGTTAGGTAACATATAGTTTGTTTCATCCCTGAAGCATACATTTTAGTTTAAAAAAGTGTTTCTCCTTGACCTTATTTAAGACATTTTGTAACATCATTCGTGTTGGTGGTCTTGCAAGTGGTCGTCATCGAGAATCAACTTAAATAGATATATTCATCTACAAAAAAATTGTAAAACTTTATAGCTATCAAATATGAAGGTACAATTGGACATCTGGCTGTACCTTTGTGAATGTGGACCCTTTGCACCCAGGACATGGGACAGGCTTTCATGACAGCATATGGCACAGTAATGGTGTGAATTCTGTTCATGACACTCTGCAAGGAAAAAAAAAAAACACATTGTCAATGTCACACTGTGCGTCACAGCAAAGTCTTCAAGGGCGCTGAGTGTCATCTAGCCTTACCGTTAAGACGCCGTGCCACAAGCCCATATCCTTCTTACAGTCCAACACGTTGACCAGCGTCTCGCCTAAGACAGAAAACACAAAAATATGTATTAATTTACCAGCTAACTGTGTAAAAGATGCAAACATTCTGATCTTCAGCTAATCTTTTCTAAGGTTGTCATACAGTGTGTCTCTGACTGCCTTAAAATAAAACAGGGGAAAAAAACAAACTACAGGCTGTTCATAAAACATCTTGCTGCAGATTTCAAGAGCGATCACTGCTGAACTTAAAAACTTAGTTATTAATCTTATTCTGAAACACACAAAAAAGCAGGTGAGAGAAGCAAGTGATGGATATGTTGCATCAAAGGCTCTGACCTTCACAGTAGTTACAGGCTTGTGTCAGGGCTTGACAATGGGTCAGCATGGAGATCTTGGACACAGCGACTCCCATCACCGTTCCCTCCTTACTGGCTTTGTACTATGGTTTGAGAAAACCAAACACACACAAATGTCAAAGTGAAGTAAGATGAGAGCAGAGGCAACCCAGAAATAAACCCAAAACAATCATTTTTAATATATACATTTATAGCAATTGGATAAAAAGAAATTTAAAAAATAATTTTATAAAACAAAAAACACACAAACAACAATTGTGATATTTAACGATTCAGATGACAAGATGCAACAGCAGAAAAAAAAACTTTAAAATGTTTAAATTTAACAGAAAATAAAGTTTTAAAAGTCTGGATTTAATAGCTACATTAGCAAAATCAATGCATACTAATTGGATTAGATATCCTCATTTTCTCTCAGTGAAAGGTCCACAGATTTGTGGCAGCGATGGAAAAAGCTAAGTGCTACAGCTATTTATATATTATCAGTAAAAATCAATTATGATTTATCTCATAACCAAATTAGAAATGCATTAAAGTGTCAACCTCGATGTAGGCGGTGTCTGTGTTGGCAGTGGGGATGTGAGGCTGCCAGTCTTTGGATGGTTTGGTCAGGTACTTGGTGTCTGTCACTACCCATTTCATCCTTGGCCATCCTGGAGAACACAGAACATACAAAACCAATTTAGCTGACACAAAGCAATAAGGAAGTGTGTTGGACTGCACTAATTATGAGATGCACTAAACTGACAAGTGTTCACCTTGCAACCTCCTGGTTTGAGGGCTAAGGGTGAACAGCCAATATCATACAAGCAGAGTCACTATGGGGATCCTCATCCACCTCTGAACATCATATTGTGTATTTCTTTTAATGAGCCCTTTTAATGGCCCCCTTAGAGGCTGAAATGACTCCTGCTGAGTCCACAGCTTAAGCTTTGCTGACCTTTGAACTGGATGATCTCTCCATTTGGTGTCTTGGGCAGCCCTTTGAGACACACCTCACTGGTCAGCGCCAAACTCACGCCACAGCTGCCCAATAGGAAACCGATCTGCTGGCTGCCTGCATCCTAATGCAGAGACACAAGTGTCAAGAGACTAAGAGGGAGACGCTAGTACACAAAACTGTGACAATTAAAAAACATACACACACTCAATCGATAGCTATCAATAAATTGATCATAGCGTAAATAAATATGTTTAAATGACCATTATACTGTAAATGCCATATACATGGTGACGCCTACAGGGAGATGTATGACATTAAGTGGTTGTTTAATTATAATTTAAGTCCAACATCCAATACAACCGAGACATTGGAATGTTATCATCACTAAAAAGCATCAGAAAGGAATTCACATGAAAACAGGGACACCTTTACCTGTCGAGACAGCGGCACCTCAATGGGCACAGGGATGACCTCAGCTAACAGACAGCCATAAAAAGCCACCCAGAACATGCCAGGATCACTGTTTGGATACACCAGCGCCACCTGAGAAGCAGAAGAGCACATGTTAGTTGTCAAGTTCCTTTACGCTTTACATACCAAGACATGCCTGACAAACTCTTACCCGATCTCCAGGTTGTAGGACAGGCTCAGTCTTAGTGCCCAGTTTGTTCAGCAGCGTATAGGCCAGCTTCAGACTGCGACTCCATAGTTTGCCTGTGGGGGGGGACGCCGACGACACACAATGCTTTAAAAATGTCCTGTTACAACGTATTATTATTGTATAACTGTTCCATGATTCCTCAACTCTACAACCCACTGTAGCTCGTCACTCTACTGTAGGTGGTATTCTGTTCAGAGCAGCAAGTATTCATCCACTTGACCCAGTTCGTATATAAGACGTATATTTCACATAATGACCTTAAGTATCTGAGCTCCATAAACTAAAAAGTTAAACAAAAAAACTTTACTTGTTTAACTTTCTGAACCTCAAGCAGTTTCTGGGGGATTTTCTTTTGCTCCTGTCACACACATATATATATATATTTGTCACAGGACAGTTCTCAGTGCATTTGTGGTTAGAGCACAGGGTCAGCAATGATAAGACACCCCTGGAGCACATCGGGTTATGAGCCTTGCTCAAGGGTACAACAGTGACAGCTTGACAGTACTGGGGCTTGAACTCCAAACTTTGTGATCAGTAACCCCGAGCCCCAATCACCAAGCACACCACTGCCCCATTCTCTTTGCTCCCTGTGGGCTCATTTTTCACTTCAATATAAAGTCCTGCACCTCTATGGAAACAGCACAGTCACGGCTGGAAGAAGGGAGAACTCAGAAATGTCTTCTGTGCCGTGTAACAAAGGTTAAGTGTGACAAAAAGAAAAAGAAAAAAAAAGTTGAATGTATTTGAATTTTGTTTTACAAAAACCTCATCACCTTGAATCAACACGTACAACATTTTTCCAAGGACCCACAGGTATTACCAATACTGCAACAAAAAAAAAGGTGACTCATACTTGTCTTGTATCTGCTCTGTTCCAGCACAGCCTTCAGTTCAGCCAAAACAGCTGAGTCACTAATGGCTTCATTGTTGCACCAAGGAGCGCAGCTTTTTTGCTGTGTACAGAATCTGGTTAGTGCTAAGGGTGGATTTTTGATGGATTTTTAAAGAGACATGTCGAAAATAAGTGAGTTTGACAAAATATCACAATTTGAAGATTAGTTTTGTCTATCTGTTAAACATAATTGGCTCAAGGATCATCTGTGAGTTGAAAGTTCCATGATTACAGTTTCTGGTTCTGATAAATTATGCCATTTTTATGATTTTTTAAAAGATAATATGTTTTTTAAACCTGCCGGTGGGTATTGACATTCAGCAGGTTCACATGCTTACCATACGTGAGGGTGTAGAGGGGTTTGCCAGTAATATCCAGAGCAGTGAGGGCAGGGCTCTTGGCCTGGGTGGCCCCCCAGCGGGCGAGGGCAGCTTGGAGGGCAGGAGGCCAGTTACTGACCACTCCGAGGGGCTCACCCTTCACTGGAATGATTTGACGTCCCTCAGGCTTCGGGGTGTTGGGGTCTGGCTGGGGAACTGCACATAAAAAGAGGCATAAATGAGTAGATGTTGAGAAGAAGCTATGAATAAGGATGTAGACCTCCAATGACACTGTCAGGGAGATAACTGATACATCACAAGAAGTTAATTAAAGAACTGAAAAAACATCAGCCAAGACGATATCCATGCTACATTATATGGGATGGTGAAATGCAAGCAATATAAATATGCTTTGTGAGTAGACATACACTATGTGTCTTACCTTCTACAATTTCCTCAGAGTCATCCAGGAAGAATTCGCTGAGTGGTGGCCTTTTGGGCCGTTTGAGCGTGTTCAACAGCTGCTGGATCTTCGTGGACACCCTGCTGTTGACAGGCACGCCTGGACAAACACCAAGAACAGCCACCTTTCACAAACATATGCAAACAAACAAAAACACGCACACACCCACGCATGCAATTCTATTCTAACACAAATCTCTACTTTATCACGCGCTCTCACACAGGCAGAGTCCTACGCACTAGCACAGTCAGGATCAGAATCAGCAGCAGGAAGGATTTGAAAGGGAAATTTGTGATTTAAGAGACACAGATTGGACAATCTTTAGGAAAATCAAGTACAGGAAGTTCTCTATTTCTAAACCTACGACACGAGACAAACATAAAGACAGGTAGACGTCAGGCTGGAAAGCAAGCTGATTGGGCTGCTTAAGCAACCCTCCCCTTCCCCAGGTTCGATGTATATTACCTTTTCTTTTTCCTTTTTTTAAATGAAAGGCAAGACAGGGACAGGATTAATGGACCCAAAAGAAAGAACACAAAATATCTGTCATTAGCAGCATTCACCACACAGTGAAATGAGGATGATGTTGAAGGTGATTTAGGATGAACATGGGTAGATCGCTTATTGATTGGAGAACATTCAATCAGCTTTGTCACCGCAACGCTGTGAATCATATGAAATATTTCACTGCCATGATTAGAACATGTGAATGATCGAACCTCCTGAACTGTTGAAAGAACCAGATGATAGTGTCCCGAGTTCCACACATTTTAGGAATAGATTATAGATGTAGGAATAGATTATTTAGATTCTTCTCTCCACTTTAGCAAAAACTTACACCCTTTCATACATTTACACCAACAGGCATTTATATAAATCCTGGCTTGTGTGAGTGTACCGTCAGCAGTATCCAGCATGCTGGAGCGACTCTGTCCTCGGCTCATGCCCCTGACTGCTGGGGGAAGGTCCACCCTGGATCCTCTCTCCTGTGGAGTGGAGGATGTCACATCTGGGGGTACACTGTTTTCTGTAGGAGGAGACAAAATGAGTACCATGAAGGACAAAATCACTTGACTACATCGATCAATACAGGAGCTCTCTCTCAGTTAAGGTTTACCTATACGTGTGTGGGCCAGTACGTCAGCTAACACGGAGGCAGCAGGCTGCGGCTGGGGCTGTGGCTGGGTCTTGGGCTCTCCATGGGAGAGTGTGGAGGAAGCAGATGAGGACGTGGAAGAGCTTTGGACGGAGCGGTTGATCCAGTAATCAGGGCTCTGCAGGCTCTGGGCTAGGACTGCAGTGAGAGCTGCCTTTCTGCGCAGTGAGCCTTCATCCTCTGATGCAGAAGATGTGTCTGAAAGTAGGAGAGAACTTGGTCTTCTGTTCCTGATACAATCTTAATTTCTTAAAGTCTCTATGGGGTCTTTTATTTATACTATTTAGACTCAAAGGATATATATTCTTGACTTCGGCCTGCATTTGGCAGCGACACATTATCCAGGGAACTTCAGTAATGTGGACACTCACTGATGCCATAATAAACAGTATGGAACAAAAGTGAGTACACATTTCTGCAAATATTTTATTATATCTTTTCATGGGACAACACTGAAGAAATGACACTTTGCTACAGTGTAAAGTAGTCAGTGTACAGCTTGTATAACAGTGTAAACTTACTGTCCCCTCAAAATAACTCAATGCACAGCCATTAATGTCTAAACCGCTGGCAACAAAAGTGAGTACACTCCTAAGGGAAAATATCATACTTTTGTGACATACCGTATAAATGTACACATCCCATAATCATCCCTAACTACCTGTCCACTAAGTGTGAGAAATTAAACCTACCTGGAGGTGTGCAGGTATCTATGGGAGACTGGACAAATGCTGAGCGCCTCTTGGTTGGCATGGGCAGTGCCATCTTCTCTTCTTTGTGTTTTGCCAGTGCTGCCTGCACAGCTTCTGTGTGGATATCTACATAAACGATAAACACAGAAAACAGATTAAAAAGTAAGCTGACGTGTTGATAGTCTGTTACCGCTGGATGGTGTTCTTTGAAGGTGTTTTATGGTTTGTTTAACAGTATGCTGCATACCTGATCTGTAGCGCTCATCCCTGGCCCCTCCACTGCGGTGTGCACGATGGTGTTTGGAGGCTGAAGAGGTGGAGGGGCCCGGGGCCTCAGGACTCGGGCTGGGGTCGGCACTGTGGCTCGGGGAAAGCTGTACATCTGGCAGAGACAGATCCACATCTGCAGAACAGAGGCACGCATGAGCAGAGTCAACACAAACATATTAATGCAAAACAAACATGAGCTTTAGGAAAAAGCACACTCGTACTTTACATAATGCCATTACACCAACATGTAGGCATAAATATTATATGATTCTCTGAGAAGCTCTCTAAATTTAGCCTCACTACAGAGGCTCTGAACATGGAGTGAAATAAGGGCATGTACTTGACTGATGCAACTTATACAGTTACCAGAGTACATGAAACTAGGTTATATTCAAGCAAATATATTTTTAGTCAATTGTCTCCTCTTCCCAGAGGGCCTGAGCAACAGAATCTCTGTGGAGATGATGGTTTTGGGGGAGAATGGGACCTGAGGAGATGGAGGCAAGAGCACAAGGTCACCTTTAGGGCTTCACAGCTTCCCAGCACCTGCTTTGACATTCAAGACAAGCTGCCCACAAGACAACAGAAAGCAGAACCCACTGACAACAACAGGATTTTTTGCAAGTATCAACCATGTGAATCCCTAGCAGTTCCTTTGTGTACTTTGATCCTGTCGCTTTTTCACTCATTGTAGGCTCAAATTATTCATGCAATTTAAAGTCCTGCACCTCAATGGAAAATCACAGCCAAGGCTAGAAGTAGAGACAACTTAAAAATGTCTTCTGTGCAGCATAATATATATTTATAATGGAACAAATCATAAAAAAAGGAAACGCAAGCGAGTAGAGTTACTTTGACTATTTACTGTACAAAATTTGAAAAAACTTGGAATCAACATGTACAACGTCGTGACTCAACATACTATACACATATGTTACTACTTAGATTTTATATTTGTTCGCATACTTGTCTCCGATCTGGCTCTGCCTGTAGCTCAGTCGAAAACTCTTTGGACTGATTTCGAAATTTTTTTTACACGTGACCGTTGACCGCAGCTGAGTCACTAATGGCTTCACTGTTGTGCAGAGAAGCACAGAAACTCTTGCCATGTCTTTTTTTTAAGTACCTGGCTAGGGCAAATGGTTTAGTGGCTTTTTTTTTTTTTTTTTTAAATCAGACATGTAGAATAAAGTGATTTTCAAGAAATATTACAGTTTTAAGTGTAGATTTTGTTAAATGTCCCATGTGATAGGTTCAATAACCACCTGCCAGTTAAAAACCAATGAATCTGTTTCCTTACTGGCTGTGACAAATAATGTAATTTGTTTTTTTTGTTTTTTTTAAAAAAGAGATAACAGGCCTTTCACACCCACTGGTGTTTTTTTGGGTTCAGAGGGTTAAACATGGAAATTATTCAAATGAAACTTAGTTCTTTTCTGTTACCACTTATCATGACTAATCCAGCACATGCCAAAACAGGCCAAAGTTAAACTAGCAGGAAAAAGTTTAGTGTTGCTCTTCTCCCATTAGCGTACAGTGACACATAAAGAAGGATTTTTTCAACATAGTGCAATTTTTCCTGAGGAAACACCACACCCTTATGCGAGGCGGCTGACCGAGAGAAACCGCAGAGATGAGCTCTGCAGTAAGCACAGAGGTGGCTGTAATAGTAGTACTTATAGTAGTAGCACCAGCAGCAGTACTGGTTTAACTGTGTCCATTGATTGGAATGACAGCACAAACTCACACACTATAGTTTTGTTATTTTGGGGATTTGTTAAAGTAATGCTGTTATTAAAGGAGCTGTTTAATGGTGCTCTGTTTGGATATGTGCAATTCCCATTTTGGCCACTAGAGTGCCACAGAAAGCCAGAAATTCTCCTGGACAACTTGGACAAAGAGAATTACTCTCACAGTCATCTGTCAGTAAAGTTACTTTTCATGAAGTTGAAAGAAAACTTCATAACACCACAAACATAACTGTTTTTTCAGTGTAATTCTCTTTACAGGTCAGACACAATCATCAGGTGAAACAACTTCCAGCAAACTGAAATCATGATTTGATGGATTTTTCTGATGTAATTATTTCAAGTTTTTGCTTCTCAGAGTGAACAACAATAATATACAGAGAGAGGAGGTGAAAATCATGCAGAGAATGAAGAAGTGGTCTTTAGAAGGGAGATGAGGCAACGCAAAGAGCAGAAAAAGAAGAAGATCTGGTCTTACTTGGCAAATGGGGGATGTAGGAGGCCAGCAGCTTGGCTTTCTTCTTCTCATAGCCCTTCTGCGTGATGTCACCTAGGAGAGAGAGGACAGCAACACCACACCGTTATGTTAGTCATAATTACCACACAAACACCAGATTACTGCACACACAAATAAACCAGATAAAGTACACACAACACTCCTCTGACACTCACAAACACTCACACAGCTTCTGCTTTAGCTAATACATATGCAGAGCTTGAGTCATAATAATAATCCTCTTTAAACCAAATCTACTGAACTCCACATGTTGACAGCTAAGTCTGTTTACAACAACACAAAGAGATAACCCCATTGTTTGGCCCTACATTAGCTCCGGTGAACAAACGTGATTAGTACGCGAGGAACTCCTCCTGGCTATGAAACCCAAATATGATTCCGGCAACTTGCAGATAAATGCGCTAGCCAGAGAACAATGACAAAACTGAAGGCCACTTGGAACAGTTGGGATAGTAAGCAGAGCAAAGGGGAAGCCATGTGAGCCTGTTTCACATGGGACTCAGCCATTTATCTCCTCCAGCAGCCCCCCCCACCACCACCACCACCACCACCACCACCCTTTTCCCACTGTATGCTCAGCACCACCCCTTCCTCACTCGGCCTTGGACTGGCAGGACTCCCACCGCTACCACAGTTTGCTAGAGAGCGACACAAGCATGACAAAGTCCACTTAACTTGGACCCCCAAAACACACAGTCTGCTTGTGCAGCAAACATGTATGAAAGACACACCCTACCCAACATACACACACTCCCCTTGGACACACAAACAATCCCAGTGCTACATTCTCACAGTTATTCCCCTTCTCCCGTGTCCAGTGATAACACTTTATGCTATGTCAAGTGCAATGCGCCAAAGGGCTGCTTAGCCTCAATCCCTCGACACCTCCTCCACACTGACCAGTGACAACAAGGAGACCTTCGTCCAACCTACTGAAAGGAGGGGGTAAAAAAGCAGAGAACCAAATATAAAAAGGAGAGAAAGCAGCGGTTGGAGTGGGAACGGGTGATAAACACATGGTGAGAGTCAGCAGCGGAAGCGAAAGGGAACGTAGTGTGGTGTGTGCACGAAACAACAATGGAATGAAAATAAGGAGAGACAGGGAGAGCCAAAATTCAACAGGCAGATTGGAGGGAGGTGGGCTGGATAAGACGGCGCTGGGTGGGGAGTCCCATGTGTGACTAAGATACTGTGTGTGGTGTCTTAAAGCTTTCTCACACTCTGGTCACTATCCACTCGAGTGTGGGATTTGCCTGGATAAACAACAGAATCAGAAAGGAAGTTTCCCTTAGGACTGAGCATGCAGATTGCCAGGATGGGTTGAATTTAAGTTATTCAGACTTTTTTTTTTGTTTTTTTTGTGATCCTTCCCATGCAGAAAACTCTTGAGGTTTCACAACATTTAAATTATGAGAAACGGGGGAAGAGGGAGGAACATTTGCAGAGCCAGCAAAACAAAGTCAGACACATTTAGAGTGGAAGGGAGTGAGCGACTGAGTGCTCAGTGCTTTGTCATTCTCTGAGTAAAAAGCTCAAATGTGGTGGCCAACAGCCAGCCCCAAGTTCATGCTTGGGTACATGCATTGGCCTGAAATTCACTCAGGATAAAACACACAGCAGCAAATGCGTGTAGCAGTCTGCTTTTCTTTGTTTCTTCATCTCTTAGGCATGCTACAGCCTTGTTTATGGAGAGGAAAACACTCACAGACAGACATGCAAGCAAAGCAATCAGCAGCAAATTGATTGGAGTGGACTGGAGCGCCATTGTTGTTGGAGACGGGCCGATGCCAAACCCAGTCCTGGAGCCCAAGTGGTGCCGGGAGGGAGGAAGGGGGGAGATGGAAAGATGGAGGGGTGGCGGTCATTAACACAGACAGAAGAGTCAGTGTTGGTGTGGGGCATAACAACAGGCACGGACTGGCACGGCCACACTGGCTCTGAGGCTGGCAGTGGGCAGAAAGACACTGAGGAGCTCCGGGGTTGAAAGACTGACTGTGACAGCTGCTTCAAAACAGAGGAAAAGCTGTGTGTTTTAAGAGCAAGAATGTGGTGTTTTGAGTGCGAGCATGAGCAAAACAGTACAGTAACTGTGTGTGTGCATGTGTGTGTGCATGTGTGTGTGTGTGTGTATGTGTGTGTAATCTGAGGTCAGGGGACAGGATATGAGCATTACCCCACCCTGTGTGTGCGCTGCCAAAATCGTCTCAGTGTGTCTGTCTAGAGAAAGAGGAATGTGCTGATTGGAAAACACCGCACTAACAGAGAGGGCCAACTGGCCAGGAGGACTCAGTCATTGGCCAAAAAGTCCCCCGAGGTGCAGGAAGCTAATGTATCTGTGTGTATGTGTGTGTGTGTACACAGCTGGTGCAGGTTACAGGGTGCTACAGTACGCAGTGGAATGAAGGCTAAGGGAGCAGAGTGGCATGTTAAGCCTGCGCTCTGAGATGTGTGTCAGTATGTCAAACCAGGACCGTGTGTTTTTGTCCAGAGATATGCTGAATCTACCCAACATGCTATGATAAAGGCAGGATGTCAGGGCTAGAGCTGCAACAACTGGCTGCTCTGCTAAATCAATCACCAACATCAACATTGTTTTCATCAGTGCGTATGAGTAAGTCTTACATTTTTACACCATAAATATTGGACTTGCTATTTTTTTAACAATGTTTTTCTGCATATACAATTTTTGCACTATTCTTTTATATTCAACATTTGTATGTATGTATGAGTAGATGTGAGTGATGAGTGTATTTGAATGAGTGTATTCTGCAAACAGGTGAACCACAGCACTAGACAGAGACAGAAAACTAAATTTCATTGCACTCATAACTTGTTTAATGCTGCATATGACAAAGCCTTTAAATACTTTTGGTAATCGATTATCTGGTTGAATAATTTTTTAGGAGAACAAAAATACCTTTTCTAAATGTGAATATCTTGTGTTTAGTTTAGTTTTTTTTTTTTACTTTTCTATGACAGTGACCTGAAGATCTCTGGGTTGTAGACAAAACACGACATCTGAAGGCGTCGTCGTGGGTTTTGGGAAACACTGATTGACGTATTTCACCATTTTGTGACATTTTATAGACCAAGCAACTAATCCATTAACTGTGAAATTAATCAATAGACTATTTGACCGTGGAAATAACTGGTAGTTGCAGCCTTAGTTAGGGTTAGCAGGGCATGAACCTCTGAGATTGAGCAGTCAACGTAATCCTTCTCCTTGTCATCCAGGCTTTTTAGGTTTGTGTTTATCATGCTGCTTGTGTACACAGGCCCGGCGCTGTTAACTTTTCAGAGCTCACTCATGACAAGATGGGCGTGACCCTCTCACTCTTCCTTTAAACTGCTGCTGTAGACCTCTGACCTCAGGACAAGTCATACAGATACTGATCCTCTCGGAGCTGACAGTGCAGGGTCACAGTGGGGATAAACACACAAACAGCATTCCCAGTAACACCAATAATTACAGTGAGCTAAAACCCATTCCGACATTAAGGGTTTCGCAGTAGAAATTGTGCATCCAGGCATTACTGACCACTTCGGCTATAATCTGCACTGGCATTCTCTGCTATGATCCGGCACATTAGAGGCTTTTGTGTTTGTGCAGCTCAATGTGCTTTATCTGTCTGCTGTGCATCACTCCCAACATGGGCATCAGCGCTGCAGCCATCAAATATAGAATTTCTACAGAAAACCTCACGTCATGCGGTAATTTTAAATTACAGGGGACATAATGTGTGCTCCAAGTAAATCAAAACTTTTTTTCCAGCTCTTGAAAAGGTGAAAAAAAGTCAAGTAGTGGATCTACAATGATGTCTAGTCTGAATATCTAGTCCAGTGCCCTTCGGCTATCTCTGCAATCACATCAAAACACTGAAAAGTGAACATAAGTGAGGGTTTCCCTGGCTCAAAGTGGGCCTCTGGGGGGTGATTACGTACCTCAGTAGCAAAATCAGCCTGTGTAGAGTGAAGGCTTATGAGTCTGTGCTATCTTATTTGACAGAAATGTGTGTATTTTATAAACAGAAGTGTATATTATGCTTGGGTAAATAAAATCAATTAAAAGAAAAAGAAACTTATCATTTTGGTGCTGCTGTTTTTCATTTGGCGATGGATAAAACCACTTTAGGGGTGCCAACATTTTGTCTTTGCAAGACGATCCTAAATAAGGTGGACTACAGACAGGTTATAGCGGATATAAAAGCAGTCCAAGAAAAAGAAATGTGAAGCCATAGCAGAGCAGCAAGTATTCACGTCTTGATATTTGTTTCAGTGGGATTTTCCAAGGAGCTAACATGTTGAATCATCTGACTGACTGTAGCTGATACGCTTAAAACTTTGTTTCTCGGGTTACTATTACAATGGACTGAATGAATATGTGGCTTTGTCAAACAAACCCTAAGAGGAACACTAATACCACAATAAGGGTGAATAAATGATGAGTAATAAACAGTGGTCACACAGACAGACTGGGTTTGGAAGGAAGGCTGAGGTTATGAGAGTACACTGCATGGGGGAAGGAATACACCGAAACTCACAAATGAACTGAGACAAACCCTCATCAAAAACACGTACAACTTCATGCAAGCCTCCTCACTCAGGAATGGGTGAAATCATTATTGGAAGCATTTAAATTCAAGCTAACACTATCCACCAACAGCATTATGTGCTTGACTTTTCCCTAAAACTAAAGCAAATTCAGCGTTTCCTCGACTTTTTTTTTTTTTTCAATCTGCTGCCAACTTTTGCACTATGACGTTCCTTCTTCTTAACTGATATTAGCTGAGTTGTAAAAAAGCTGAGAAGCTTAGCAAAGCACTTGTTACTGCCAAAGTTTTCCATCTGTCTTGTAGTCACAGCACATTTTCTCAAATGAGAAAACACCAATGTTGAACTTGCGCAAAAGCCCTTGAAGATTAGCTAACAGCGGATAGTAGCAGACAGGAGAGAGTCTGGACCGGACAGTTAACACCCTCCAATCCACCAACCTCCTCTGCACAAACACGGAAACAAACAGTTCAACATCCACA